GCGGGGCCGGGCGGCGGCGGCGGAGGCGGAGGAGGCGGCGGCCCGGGCCCTGGTCCCAGCCCCGGCCCCGGCCCCGGAGGCCCAGCCAACGGGCGCCACTACGGGATTAAGCCTGAAACCGGAGCGGCCCCGGCCCCTGCCGCAGCCACCACCTCCTCCTCTACTTCCTCGTCCTCCTCCTCCAAACGGACTGAGTGCTCTGCGGCCCGCGAGTCCCAGGGGAGCGGCGGCCCCGAGTTCTCGTGCAACTCGTTCCTGCGGGACAAGGCAGCCGCGGCGGCGGGGGGACCCGGGCCCGGGGCGGGCGGCTCCACCGAGCCCTCGGCTTGCAGCGATCACCCGAGCCCAGGCTGCCCGCTGAAGGAGGAGGAGAAGCGCCCGCAGGCTCCGCAGCAGCAACTTGACCCAAGTAAGTGCAAAAGAAATTGCCCCCTGATTTATTGCTGAAACCTGTAAGGCTCGAATGTGCAAAACTGATAGTTTTACTAACCTATAAAAACGTCTAGACGCCTACCCAAGCCTAGGCGAGCAACACGCATCCATAAAAAACCTTCCCATAACCACCTACCCTGGGCGCGCGGTTTGTACGGTAAACAGAGCGCGGGCATTAAGGCTTTTTATGATAATTCCCCCCAAGTTGTGAAAAGCGGCCATCCTTAGTGAAATTAATTTAACGACCTCTCTTCCCTACCCTGTCGTCTTTCCCTGCCTCCCCTCCGCCCCTCGCTCCCCTTCTGCAAACCCCCCTCTTCGTAGACAACCCCGCGGCGAACTGGATCCACGCTCGCTCCACCCGGAAAAAGCGCTGTCCCTACACCAAATACCAGACGCTTGAGCTGGAGAAGGAATTCCTGTTCAACATGTACCTCACCCGGGACCGGCGCTACGAGGTGGCCAGGATTCTGAACCTCACAGAGAGACAGGTCAAAATATGGTTCCAGAACCGTAGGATGAAAATGAAAAAGATGAGCAAGGAGAAATGCCCGAAAGGAGATTGACCCAGCGCACTACCCGCAGGAGCGCTCAGAGGCAGCGGGTTTTTCTTTGTGGGTGCTTGATTTCCAGAGACTCCAGCGACTCAGACTTTTGTTTTTTCTTTATTAGGTAGAAGTGACTGTGTGGTTGGTCTCTGTGAGGTATTTGGGGGACTCTGTATTTGCTCGCTTATGTGTCCAAGAAACCAAGTGACTTTGGGGTTTTGCCTATCCCACCCCATCCCTGTCCTGCTCCATTTATTCCTTAGGAAATGCTATATTTTGTGAGTGCACGCCAGCTTAAGGAGCCCTCTTCTGTGTAAATGTCTCCCATGTTTCCGAAATGTACTGTAGTTTAGTTCCCTAACCCCCAGCACTGCCCCAGCAGGGCCAAGCAGAACCCCGATTCTGGGATTCTGAAGGCAGAGGGAGATAGTGCGGACCCAGCTGCTACCTGCCCAGGTGGAAGCCCAGCCGGGTGGGCTATGGATTTCCAAAGCCCTCTTTCCTCAGGGACCCTGCAGACCTTTCTCTGAGACCACGAGTGAGGCCTAGAGAGGAGCCCAGGGCCTTGGGTGGGTCGTGGTTTTTCCTGAGTGCTTTGGAGGAGCTGCTTTCTCCCCGAGAGGGCTGGGATCTCGTGAGCAACCTGGCAGTGGCCCTTCAGGTTCCTGCCCAAGGACCAGTTGTAAATGTTACCGCTTCCTACCAATAAATGCCAATCTGATCAAATGGAGCCCAGCTGCTGACCCTGAAGTTGTGTGCTTATTCTCTGTCTTTCTGTAAAATATCACCGTCCTGGGGCTTTTTCCCCTGTCTCTTTTTGGGGAGATGTTGCTAAACACTTGGGACCCAGCTACCTGGCAGGTCTAAGCTTCCCTTTGTGCAGGCAAACCTGGTCTCACCATGCTTTCAGGTGTGGGGGTCCCCACTCAGTGCCTCAATGAATTCTACCCTGATCTCAGGCTCAGTCTGGCAGCAGCCAGCTATGGAACATGCAGGCCCCAGGAACTGGACACCCTCTTTTGCTTTGGCCTCGGAGCACCACACCCATGCCTTCCACAGCTCACAGAGCCTCAGTCGCCAACTTAGGTCTCCAAACAAGGGAAAGGCGAATTCCGTGTTGTGAAGTAACTTTCTGGGTCTTAGTATCTGGGCCGGCCGGCTAGACTACAAGTTTCCACCCCTCCTCACCAGAGCCCCAAAGTGACCTAGGGATCAAAATGGTCCACGCACTCCTGCTGGCTGGCCACCCTCAAACCACCGCCCCTTTCCCTCCACCCAGCTCTGTGTATGTTTAGCCCCCAGCTTGGCCCTCTGAGGTCCACATTCAGAGGCTAAAATGAAGGTCATTGTAAGCAAGGGTTCAGGCGAACACAGCCTTTTGCAGGCCCTAGAGGAGGCAGTGGCGCCGGTTAGCCTGGGCTGGGCGGAAGGCGGGGGATGTGGCAGAGATCTTGGGGATCCTGATGAAAGAGGGGACTCGAAGAAAAAGCAGAGGGGGCTGGGAGGGAAAGCCAAGGCCCAGATCCGGCAG